AGAAAAAGAAATTGAGGACTTAAGTCCTCAATTTCTTTTTCTGCAGCCGCTTCTCATTCATTGACAAACTAATGATAGTAAAAATATCTTACTATCATTAGTTTCTGAATGGGGAGGAGCCTCTGTAGTGAGTGCTAGTCCCCATTCATAAATTCTTGAATGAACAGGCTGTGATGTTAATCACATCCTGTTCATTCATAACTGTGGACACATAGTACTATGGAGTCTATTCATGAAGCTCCCGAAGGATCTGGCCGTAGCTTCAGCCGATCCTTCGGCTAGCTTCGGCCCCAGGACCCCTTCGGTTCAGTAGAACCGAAGGGGTGCTGTACAGGCTATTCACAATGCATTGGCTCAACTGGTGGCAGCGAAAGGGTTAAAAAGTAACTAGTGTCAGGTACTAAAAGTTCCTGAACTTGACTTGGCATTAGTTTCCTGCCATCCTTCATCTGAGTATTTAGCTTTTTTTCCTGCAGTTTAGTTTTAAAGTGCACCTGTGTCCAGGGTATATGTATTAAAGCATTTACATATTCTGAAAAAAATAACAAAAGTACTTTAAAACAAGCCCTCATTCAGTGCTTGTTTTAAAGTCTAAAGGTGTCTAAAAGAGAACATGTCACCTGCATAGGAGGCTTATCAGTAAATTGTAAAGTTAAGTATAGAAAAGAAAAAGTCTAATATGAATAGTCCCAAATGAATGCAAACACATGCGTCAAGTGTGCACAAGTATAGAAAAGATGATTGTGCCACACATATTAAGTATCATTATGCATGCTAGAGTGAGAGCAATAATTCCAAGACCACTCCAAACTGATGAGCTGTAAAGGCTTCTGAAGAGTCTTCTTTGGGCATTTTGGGTACAATAGTTTTTTTCACTGGCGAGGCAATCCTTTATATTTTACAAAAATGACATTATGTTTGCGTGTACTAAAATTAATGTATTTTTAATAAAAAATATATATTTTATAAGCAGGAATACAAATATTGTGTGACATATAAAATCTCATCTGATACAATTTTATTCCACAAGGTCTCAGCTTTCAGAATATATACTATGTTTGGAGGGTTTTAAGTATTCTTCAAGCTTAAAAAGTGCATTTGAGCATGTCTGCAAAAAAAATTTAAAACCCATCAAAAAAGCTCTGGCTTAAAGGGTTATAGCACTCTTACTGCTTGTTAGGGATATGTAAAAACTTTAATGCTCCTAGTCTGGGCACAGGTGCACTTTAAACTCCTGAGTAAAATTCATCAGAGTGAGAAATCCACACAAGCATAGAGTGATCACAGGATCAATAAAATTAATAGTACACAAACTGCCCCCAGTTTGATATATTACAAGGGATTACATTTTAAATTATGTGACAGTTTTGGAAAGAGCAACTGCAGTTTGTAATGTACAGGTCATTTTTAATAACGTTAAAGTGACACTAAATTTAGGAGTTAAATCCTAAAAATGC